GGGCGATCAAGCCGTTTACACTATAAAATTGCAACAGCAACCCAGTAGTAGTACTAGTAGTAGCTCCCACGAAGTTACTACCCAGACGACGGAAAGAACTACCTTAAACAGTAACATGTCAACATCGTTGCAAATCCCATGGACTCGCCAATGTCGTGCAAAACAGAACGCATGTTGATAAATGGATAGCTCATGTGCTCTACATACGGATATGATGCCGTCAGACCCTGCGTTGTTAGCATCAATAGGCGTGTTGAACGTGCAATTAAACTGGAGGTTCTATATAAGGGAATTCGGGTGATGCTTCTGGGTCGCTGATTGGTCCATAATTCCGAGAGTGGCTGCTTTGTTGCATGGAGCAGCCAACAAACACAAAGTGGCGATCGGCGGATGGCGGGCAACATGCAAGCGGCGCCGCAGATGCAGAGACGACCAAGCAACATCCAAGGTGGAGACGAATTCTGGATCGATGTGCAGAAGAAGGCCTTTACCAGGGTATGCCTACTTTTAACTATTGAACACTTGTTGGAATGACAATGATCATGGGTACTACTTGTTGTTACATAGTGGGCCAACTCGTACTTGTCGGACCGAGCCCAAGTCATCACGGACTTGTACACAGACTTGGGCGATGGATTGCGGTTGATCTCGCTTCTCGAGTTGCTGACCGACGCGCCGTTTCCTTCGGTATGACGTAGCTCATGTTTTGTCGTCGATACATATATCTCACTTTGTGACTGCAGAAGTACACGAAAGAGCCGCGGTTTCGCATCCACAAGCTCGAAAATTTGAACATGGTGTTCGGGTTCTTGGCCAAGGAGCACGTGATGGTCACGAATATCGGGTCCAGTGACATCCTCGACGGCAACGGCAAGCTCATCCTCGGGTTCGTGTCCTCCACCGAAGATGGGTCACTTGACACCAACATAATAGACTCATGTGGACCATCATCAAGCGATACCAAGTGGGGGACATCGCCGTGGACGGCGTGTCGGGCAAAGAAGGTTGCGTCCTTCACTGCTATATGTGCATTCTTTCGAATCGATGTGATTGTATTTCATCTTGTACACAGTATACTATACAA